CCGGCATTATAGGAATAAAAAGGAAGCACTTCTCTAGTTCTAAATCTCGCGCACAATTTGTCGTCAAGGTTTCACTCTGCTCCTTACTAATGCAGCACTGCCATACGGAGACACTGCCTTGTAAAAGCAACGCAGAGCACTGCCAGAGAGGACGCAATGTCAGGTCATGAAGCACTAGTGGAGTGAAAAACAAAGCTCTGCACATTCCACTTCCTCTCCATCCAAGCCATTGTCGCCGTGATGCACAATGGAAATGCATTACACATACACCAAATGAAAATAGCATAAGTTTCAAAGCCTATTATTTTTGCAATGAAAAGAAAGAAACGAAACCGTACATAGTTGCCTCTACCTCTCAGAGAATACTTGTCGTCAAGGGTTTACGCTACGCCAACTAATCCAAAAATAGAAAACAGTGCAGTGAGGAAGGATTGCAGAAAGATACGACAAAGTTTTAAGAACATCAAAGAGTTGAAAATATGAAGACAAATATACTAAAAATAGTAATAATGAGATAAATATGGTGACCATCTTTCAGCTCTTGTATTTATTTATGCTAGAGAGTATCCCTGAATTCAAAGGGTTTCAAACACAAATCCACCACTCGCCGATACCAACGATGGTAATACCTCAGCTTGAAAGGTGTCGCCTCGGCTCACACACTTTGTTCGCATCGATCAACAAGGAAATGAATATTTCTCCCCACGGGTTCGCTTAACCTTACATACCTTTTTGTCTGTCAAATACACGTTAAAAGGTGTGTGCGAAATTATTATGTACCATCAAAGAATTGGAAGATCAACACAAAATTGTCGAGACATCATCAAAGCTTGGAAAGGGAGAGTTAATGAGCGGGAGTGGAGAGGATGAGGGAATTAGGTAGTCTTGCGCTGTTCCTCTTGGAATAGCTGCCAGAAGGAAAACATGCTTCAAGCTTATAGAATGCACCACAACCACCAAGCAGTGTTGTAAAATTAGAAGTGTCTACACTGAACGCTAGAGACGACACTCGTCGACACCACGTCTACTACCGATAGCGATTGCTTGCGACGACGTTGGAGACAACAGAAGTAGGCCAATGATCCAACGCCCAATATTACCAAAAAGGTGCCAAGGAGACACCCAGTTGTGGCACCCCGTGGTTGACAGTCGCTGCAACTGCTTACAAAACGTCGAGCTAATAGTTTCATCCTCATGGCCGCCGTCAGGCATCAAGTGAATTTAACAACAGAAGAGATCAATCACCAACCACTGTGTTCTACTGTAACGATACAAATGACCATTGGTGCATTTCCTCCCATTCGATCTACTTCACTTCTTCCTAAACAACGGCGTCCCATATATGTGACGCGCGAGCTCATGTAATAAAAACGTCTTAAGAAAACAATGGTGGAAGTGGGAAGTTAAGTTTAACAAGAGGTGGAAAACAAAACTCGCCTCTTTCTACATCCAGCTACGTGCCTTCCGATCTAGAAGCCATAAACACAAAGAGACCTATCAGGGTGTCTGCATCATTCGAATGTAGCAGTTGTGGTCACTTTTCACAAGTCAAGAATTCCGGCATTCAGAGGCGAATGCAGAGTACTAATCCTTCGCACAAAAGATGGTGTGTTGCGTGCAAATCCATTAAAGGCTAGTTTATGCGTTAACCACATGAACTGTATGCTCACATACATAAATGCTCATTCTGTAGGGTGGAAAACCATCACTCCCAGAATCACCGATGACAGTTCGCCTTTTGCGATCGTCAATGAGACGTTGACATCATTTAAATGACGTGCCGGTGCAAGATTACGTGTCCCATTGCTGTACTGTGCTTGCAGTAGATAGGCACGGGATCAAATTGGATGCCTTTGTTACCCGCCATCTTGATTAGGAGCATCAGCTAAATTCTTGGAGAATTCGTGTACATGGTACAAAGTGGGGCCCCACCGCATACTCATGGCATCATTGTTGCTAATACTGGTAACTATAGCAGCAAGCAGCATATCTCATACTACATTCGCATTGGTCGACATACACACCGATTACTCATGTAGGCACCCCCTACGAGGTCAAGTGGGCCACTTTATGTGAAAACGCCTGACGTATGTACTAAGGGTAAAGACAACCAAACTATACTATTAACCTGCTGGGGGCTAAGGACTAAAACAAGCAGTCCGCAGCGATGGGCAGCAGAAGCAAGTGGAACGAAAGTTAATTCACGGTACACCTCATGCATAGTTTAAAGTGACTAGACTTTCGGCCCACGCAAAAAAAAATACGACTATTCTTTTAAGCCACCTTATCTCCATGAGAGGAGATAAGTTATGGAGCACACAATCAAACCGATAAAAATTAAAAAGCGCTGAAGCTAAGACAAGCAAAGGACCTACATTGCATCCCACACATCATCAAAATGTAGAAAAAGTGAACATTTACACTTCCGCCCCAGAAAAATTCAGACAAGTAGATCACTAAACATGTACCAGCTCCTGTTTAAATCGTTGGCAGAGAAAAGAACAATTTTGGGGACTTCAGAGGGCTATCATTCCTTCGTTTGACTTCTAATAGATCCAAATAATAGACGCCTACGCAATCGGTACTCAAGACGAGTCAAACAATAGACAGGCAACAAAACCGGGATCGTGTTACCTCATTCCTGCCAGACGCCACATTTCCAAAGTGACCTACATAAAACTGCCTTGACCTCACAGGAGGTCAAGTGAGCATATTAACAGTGACGACTGTTGTAAAACGAATAATTCAGAGGCACCGGATGGCAGGTTGAAGTAGAGGCGACAATTATTATTTATCTGAATAACAGGAATTCACTCAGACCAGAACCCTAAAAGTGAATGAGTATGTGTATTTTATACCCGCTGTAATCAATACAAATTCATATTACGCAGATAAGACAACACTGTTTAAACAGAGCAAGGATAATTGGAAGCAATTTTAAGGTTGAGGTAAGTGAAACATCGCATATTTGTTGCCATGATCCATACAACCAAGAGCCTATCCAATATGCTTTTGCATGGATTTAGAAACAACGCAGATGTTCTGGAGATTTTATAAGGAAGAGGTTACTAGCAGTAACATTTTACCGACAGATAAGAAACGGATTTGAGGTCCTCCAAAACCTCTAGGAGTATCATCACTCATGGAGCAAACATGTGAGTTATAGAGACTGAAGAGGACAATCGACCACCACAACCCTTGCACCATGGAACAAAAACGTCCTGCATCTATGCAAAGCTCTAAACTAGGTGCTACCAACTATCCAAAACTAAAAGAACACATGCCACGCATGCGTGAGGCACTAAAATTAATTGTTTTCTAGGTGAAAGGCTGAAGAAAGGTGCCAACGTCCCCTCTTGGAACCGTGCTGAGTCAATATTTATTCGTCGAGGACAGAGAGTACACGAAGCGGAGTTTGAAAATTTTTCAATGTAGCAATTTGCATGAATACTATAACCAAATTTCTGCAGTCAAACACA